CAACTGATTCGTGTGAAAATGAACAACGGAAAACAAGCAAAAGCAACTCAAAACAAAAATCGACCGAAGAACAAATTTAAAGTGAAACAGAGTCATAGAATCAACCTGTCGATCCATTCTTCCTTGAATATGTGCGACAAGCGCAAATGAAAGCAGTACTAAGGCTTTCACTCAAATAAACGCCGGGAAAGGTTTTGAATGTCTCTAGTGAGACAATAAACACAATGCAAAAATCTCGACGGTGTCGGGTAGCAAACCGCTTGTGAAGCGAGACCACTACCGGAACACCACATCGACGTTTGATAACGATACGACGACTTCGCATTTCCAAGTGACATTACAGTCAAGCAAATTTCGAGCCCCCGTAACTCTTTAAGGCTAACTATTTTGCAGTTTTAATTTCCATTTTCGTAGATAGCATTCGAAACTCTATCGATTTATCTGGGTCTCCATTCAAAGTCCCAAGGTAATTAGACTACCCTTCCATGGTAAGTGAAGTGAACGCAATCAGGCCAAACCATTTAGCCTGCCCAGAGACTTCGAGTTACCTTACTGCTTTGGTTTACGCAACTTTTATATTGACATTCATATAGATTATATTCGATTTTTCCTCCGTTTCATGAGTTTAAGATCACCCCCGACAGTACTAAGGTTTCGAAATCGAGTGCAAGAGAGTTTGCACTTGAACGGATCTGTATAGGAGAGAATACGTCGGAAATATGTTTATAAGCAATATGCACTTCGCCTCGCAAAGGTAGTATTTCCTTGTTCGATCGGAGTTGGGTCTCTCGTTGTCGAAAACTACTGTATGGAGAGACGTGAAAAAGGGAAGCATTATTGCCAGGTCAGCAATGAAGAGGGCTCCGAGGCTTACCGATCACCCACCATCCGAAGGCATATTAGGAATATTATTAGGAAGGCACAATTACTATCTACGGGGTACCTTCTGCAAAGAAGGAAGTACCAGGAAGTCGTACACACGCTGCCATTTCTCAACGGGGTCCTATTTATGTTGTTCAACAAGACAATGCTGTGTTTCACAATAGTCATTCCACAAAGACTAGTTGCATTCCCAAAATACCAAAGTTCCGGTATGTCCCGCTTGCAGCCCCGATCTGAACCCAATGGAGAATCTGTGATGCATCATTGTAAGAAAAATTCATGTGAATAACCGTCAGTTTCAGACGACAGAAGAGCTCAAGCTGGCTGTAATTGAATCTTGGAATAAAATCTCAGGCGAGGTACTTCGACCACCTTGTTGTGAGTATCCCACGTAGGCTATTCGCAATTCTATTCGGCTGGAACAAGAAATACCCATCCACTACTAAATGTTTTTTTGTTGTTTTAATGCAAACTTTTTTAAATTCTTAAAGTGATCTTATACTTATGAAACGGTGCAAAAACCAGAAAATATTTCTAAAAATGTTATGGTAGAAGTTGATTCAGAAAATGCCCGTGGGTGGCGGATCTGAGAATAGAGCTTGAAACTTATCTGCTTGGCTGCATATCCTGTAAATCCCAAATTTGAAGATGATCTTCACTTATGAAACGCACGAGTAGAAGATGGTGGTGTTGATGGTGATCAGACTGATGCATGATTTATAACTGAAATGTTTGGGTAGACCATCATTTGTTTGCTCCATTTGGTGATTTTTCGAAACACATGTGATACATTCATCAGGCGGCAGTTAAAAGGATCTCCGGAGAATTATGTCGTCATCCGAAAGAACAACTTTGTGCTATCACCTTTTACGAGTGGCATCAGGACCCCAGTGCACGCTCCATAACATTGCCGCCCACCTTGTGTCTGGTGGAATGGGGTCACAGAACGAAGTTCTTTCTTTCGTCCACTTCTGAGTGATCGCTCCCCCTAAAGACATCGTCTAATCTGCGAGCTCAAAAAAGTTGGTGGTTCCGGTAGAGGATTTCGAAACATCCTGGGAGGGTTTAGTCCGATGTCGTCCGACACCCCCATAAGCAGGACCAAAGGAAAATTTTTGATTGATACTCTATCATTTAATAGCCGACCTCAGTCACACTCGTATCCTCATCTGCAGAGACTCCTAATCCCCAACTGATAGGGGGTTCCTACGGGGATCGGTGATCCTCTACAACAATCACAAGAAGGTCACTTAGCACGTCGAGAAGGAAACAGCCGCCCGTTTAGATGAAGAGCAGCGGCAAAGAATCTGTTCTTGTGATCTGCGGTTAGACAGTCATCTTTCTCTCTTTCCAGAAAATCAACCACGCGATTGGACAAAAAAAAAACCAAAAAGCAATCTAGTCCAGTGTATGCCACTACATGCACGACAATGCTCATTCTCACTTAGCTAAGACTACAGTCCCGTTACAAGAGCTTAGGTGAGACACGGCGCTCCCCAAACTCACCTCCCGACTTCGCCTTTTCACTCTACAGCCTGTTATTTCTTCTTCTCCAATTTCATGCCCTAACGAAAAACCTTATTGACCAGTTTTCTTGATTCAAAGTCATTTCGTTTTTGAGAGAAAGAGTGCTTCAGCAGTAGAATGAGTGCTTCTTGGGCTCTACGATTTTGCATCAACCTGCTATTAGAGGGTAGATGTCGCACCGATGTGGACGGAGTTCAATGGCTCGAGGGGCGGTCCCGGTCCGCTATGCCAGGTGGCGAATAGAGCTCTAGTTTTGACATTTTGATTGATATCAGTCGAAAATGCTGGATTTTGCGCAGAGCGCCGTAGGCATAGCTATTACGGGTGACTACATTGAGTGAGTACAGTTGTGGAAACCGAGATCACTTACAAAGTCCCATTGTTATGTCGTCATGAGCGATATTTTGAAGCTCGCAAACTTCTTTTCATAGCGAACTTATAAAGGTGTCAATTGGTTGATTCGCCATGAATTCAGGACTGCCAATCGCAGTCACGTCTTGCCGTCGGCATCTGTTTCTCCCACGAATGTACCAGGACGCACAATTTCGTCCCAATGCGTTTATGTCAGGTGAGCATGCGCCCAAGCGGCAGTTCAGCTTTGCCTAATAATTGCTAGTAAGCGTATTTCCCATTTAATATGTTGTAAACATAACTGTAATGACCATCTCCCATTTCTTGATCTACTCTGTTTTGTAGGAATGTATGACGATCCTCCATGCTAACTGCGAAACACCCCATTTGCTTCATCGCGGCTCGGGATGCGTATGGGGTCAAGCAGTGATGTGGGGTACTGTGGAGAGCATCGTCAAACTGTTACGCGAAACGGCTCAATTCGAAGGTATGAACTGCTGAAAGACAAAGTGTGGTAACTCGAAGGAAAAAATTCAAGTCGGTCTTTTCCAGGCACTGAAGGCGAAGGTAAGCGACCAAAGTGGCTTCGTCAATTGGAAGGAGGTCATTCACTTGGCAAAGAAATCGACACCATGGCTGACGAACGGCGAATGCTCAGCCGATTCGGCGTTTGGATGATGGCAGCTCTTTGTCCACCGAACACGAATGCAGACGAGGTACTAGATACTCTACTTGCACCATCTTTAGCTGAGAAGGTGTAGACGAAACTCCAGCACTTAGGTAGGTGTGAAAGCGAATCGAGTCTTGAGAAACTCGTCCCGCTCAAGATCATTCGCACTGAGTCTGAAACCACCAGAAGGGGTGGGGGCAGAGACCGAGGAAACCCACAGGTGAACATGGAATTGGATTTTGTGAATGTTCCTATGGGGCTATGCTTGAATGAGCTTCTGAAGAAGGGACGTCATGTTGCACCCTTCAATACTCATTCAACTCTAGTCGGTGGTTCTTTGCAGAAAGCGATCTCTTATATTATGAGTAATGTGTTTCAATGGTTTGCCACGACAGCGCTGCTGCCAAATGACAGCATGGGTGCGAGCCTGGAGCAGCTGAAAACCGATGTGAGCTGTCACCATTCTGTTTGCTAAAGATCCTGATCATTTCCAAGGACTGGAGTGAATCGTTTGATAATTGCAGTTTGTCTGTGACTGGATCAATATGGCCATAAGAGTGCATTATCAAGTCTTCATTGACGCTCTGTCACCTGGTCCAGAAGAAGAAGGCCGTCATTTTGAGCAGACGAAAGAGGGATTAGCCCGGTATGTGTTCGTGGTAGATGGATATTGTTCTGTTGATGAGTCGTGAAGTCTGGTTGTTTGCTCTCTCGCTGTAGAGACTATCTCTTCTACCTGAAATGAGGAATGCTGTGTGCGACAACCCTTGAGACCCTTATTTGGCGTATCCCATAGTCCTAGAGCAGTCTTCATTAGATCTGCCCCTAAACGTTAATTCTACAGGTTGCTGGCGCTGATGCCGTATGATGTCATTTCTTTAGAGACATGGAGTCGTGTGATGCCGGAATGGCTACAGGTGAGTGAAGAATTTCAAAGATACTCTGCCGTTCCGGACGAATATTCTTTTTCAGCTTATCTACGAGAAATGCTCCGAAGAGCAACAAAACGACTTGAAAATTTTGTTGTGCAAGATCTTCGAACCAGATCTTTGTCCTCTTCCGTTTGAGACTGTGATGGTGAGTTGCCAGTACTTGCCAGTACAATCGTCTATGTAACCCGCTGATGTTCTGTGTAACCCAAAGTCCAAAGTAAACTCTTTGGACGATAAGCAGTCCCACCTAAAGGATGCTCCTAATTTTCATAAGATTCTTTCCAATTTTCAATATGAGTATTTTGCAGGTTTTCGAATTTGTGAGCACCAGGCTCGGAGGGAAAAATTACAAAGAACTTTTCAATGCCCTCCAGTGGTTGCATGTAAGTTTTGTGATTTTTTATTTCGCCAGGCAGAAGCCACAACGTTACATTTCACTCCGATTCTCTGCTTTCTCACTTCGCGTTTTCTCAAAAGGAAACTTTCGGGAAAAGGGGGTCTAAACTTGGACTTGCATCTATAATATTACAGTGCTCGGATCTTTTTGTGGCTATACTTATTATGTTTTGTTGCAGCTGCTCTCACGTCTGGAAATTTCTATTCCACTCGATATGCTTCTCGAGAAATTCAGCTTAGCTCTAATGGGACTGACCGCTATGGAAATTCCTTGCCTTGGACAGAATGATCTTGAAGACGACGATGTCTCGATACACATTGTCATCATTGACATATTGGTTTTACAGGTACCTGAATATTTACCTGCTATCGTTCATGGGTCATTGTGCACAAGGTTGAAATTTGCTGGGAAAAGATGATTCTTAGTGGGTGGGCTAGTGGGCTGGCTCCTTCATTTTTGCTTAAGATGTGGGATAAGATGCTAAACTTAAAAATCTTAAAATAATGTTATTTTCAAAGAGTGAGGGGAATAAAGCGAAGAGACTGTCAAAAAATAATCAGTTATCCTTCGACTTTTCACCTCAGAACTTCGGGAATTTTTGGGTCTCTTTGGGGGCCACCTACACCCTCCAAGTGAGTTGAGATCCTACTAGATGACAGGCAATCAAACTCCACTTTTAGCTGCGTCTGAATGAAATCGCCGTCCACGAGCAGTCAACCATGACAGAAAAGCTTTTCTCGTGTGTTTCTCTGCTGCTTAGTGTCCCTCTTCGCACTACACCCCATGAATGCAAAAACCCAGAACTCGATGGATTCGCTGATTGTTCGGGTGAGGACGAAGTCATTATTGCTTTTGCATGAATCTTAGTTACAGTGATTCGAGCTCGCATATCGAAAAAAAGAGGCCGTCCTTTGGATGGACTAATGGGTTCCTCGGAAAATTATATCAAAAGCAATTTCAGCCTGTCAGCAAGCAGCATTTTTGCATCAAATGATCATGAACATGACCGAGAATGTCTCACCAAAGCAAGAGATGGCCATCACAGCCACTGAGGTTTGATTTTTTTCTACAAATGGCATATTCGAGTCATTCTCATAAGTCTTATTCGAAGGATGAACCGGTTGACGCTTACGACTTGGCATCTCCTGGCACATCTCATCCCAGTTCAGCTTTGTCCCCACAGACTGCTCCTGGTAGTAAAGGAAGTAAGAAAGCCATCAATCAGTAAGAATCTCCAATATTGCTTTCAAGTGTTTTTTTCAGCTTCTCCAGCGACAGCAAGCGCCCCTACAGGTTTCTCAGAAGGTGGCCTCTGCTTTCAAACGGCCACCGTCGAACAAACTGGTGACGATGAATTCGTTGGCATACTGCCAAGTGAAGAGGTTTGTCCAATGCTTTTTGTTAGTTTTTAAGAAATCTAGTGTGCGCTATAGGTCGAGGTCGGTATGGCGGAAGCTACGACACTGACCGAGACCGATGTCGGGCGGGAGACCTGCCAGGTGGTGACCAGCAGCCTTGTGGAAGGATTGAAGGTTGGTTTTAACAGTTCGCCAAAGTGCCGACCATTCATTGTACAAAAACATCATTCGCTACCTCAAGATTTTGAGTTCACGATAATTTTGTGTACCTAGTTCAAGTAGATAGTGGAACTGATGGTACGGAAAGTTGTGAAGGTGGTGAAGAAAGCTCGGAAACTGACGTACTTTGAGGAATACAAAGTTACTGAAGAGTGTTTAAAATAAGGGTTGTACAAGATTATGACGGCGGAAAAGGCATTGACTGGGGACTTTGATGAGGTCGGTTGGGTACAATTGCGTAAAAAGCTAGGCACGGCATGCAAAAATTGCCTTCCACTGCCTAAATTGCCTTCCACTGTAGCCATGGATCCGAACCGCGTGTAAAATCTTTGTGTTATTTTTTCATTTATTTTATTTATTTTTAAATAAAGAAATAAATAAAAAATTAATTGATTATACAGGGTGGGCCAAAATTATGATTACACAGAAATCACTTCGCAGAAAACGAATAGAAAGCCAATAGAGCAAACCAATTTCATTAAAGGGCTTAGCACAA